TGTGTCAAACTGAAGGAGGCTCAATGCATAAAACACATAAGAGCATTGTTGTTCGTGCAGGTGAAAATGAACGTATAACTTATACCACTGCCAACTCTCTAACCTGCCAACACTGAGACTGTGTGTCTGCTGAATCACATGTCAGACTGATGATGGCCCACAGTGACAGCGTGTCTGCACATAGTTGTTTGTTATGCTTTAAAGATTATTTGAGGGCATTTATTGGATAGCAGAGCAGTGAAGACAGACAGGAAGACTTGCAGCAAAAGGTCATGTGACATGTGGCTACTCGCCTCTGCACTGGAAACTGACAATCATTCAGTCCCAACAGCCAACAAGAAGACCTGGAAGAGATTAAGCTCCTGGATCTGCTGAAGTTATATTAATATATTTTCACAACTTACTGTGAAGTCTTAAAATATCACTAACCTTCCTCCAGACACATTCCTTTGTTCCCTCTTTCTCTATGCATGAGTAAAGTTGAGCGATGCATCTTCAGCTGCCTTCCAGTGACATTAAGAAGCTCGTCTTCCATTTCTGATTGTTGGTGAAATCTCAGCTGACGAGTTTCACAGTGCAAAGTTAAAATAGTTTAACTTGTTTAACTGTGGATTTGCGTCTCGTTTGTGTCGTCTGCCGTCAGTTTTCTGCCTTGCTTAGACTTTCCTTTTCCTTTGGTGTGATCGCGCTGTCAGCTGAGGGTGTTTTTGCTTAGACTCATGTATTTGAGCACAGACTGGTTAATGAGGTTAGATACAGAACTTATTTTGAGATGAGTGGATAACGGGCGGCTAAGCTGAAGAACAAGATATTTTCTAAGGAGGTAGTGGAAGGCAAATCAAAGCTAAAAGGAGAGAGAGCACTGTGAATGTAAATGTTAGCAATTAACACACTGCTGACAAACAAAGCCCTAAAAATAACGCAGGAAGATGGATCATCCCTCTATAATTATTCATCCTCGCTGCACACAAACGCTGACACACTGAGCCGCTTCTGTTAAAACTCGAGTAAACAAAGCAGATCAGAGCGACGCCGCTCAGCTCGAGGAGCACTTATAACCGAAAACAAGGTGACAAATTTGTTCTTGATTGGCCCAGACCGGGCGGAACGGCGTAGTCATGGCACGGTCGACTTGTTTTTCAGAGTGTCCTTCTTTGGCCGAGAGGATTTTTGGCAGCGCTCGCAGGGGTGAAGAGAGAGGCGCACTCAGAGCTCCACCAACCCCTGCGCTGAATGAGAAGGAGCTGGGCAGCGATGACAAGAGTGCCAGCAGGGGGTTAAGCTGTGACCCAGATTCCTGCACGAGCCTTTGTCCTGGAGAGGAGAGAAGATTCTCCTCATTCATCTCGCCGAGGGCTGAATTCGCGTTATGAATACAGTGACAGAGGGGAGGAGACACGGACTCGGGCCGGCAGAAAAAGAAATAAATGACTCTGAGTTTGCATGCATTATAGATCATTCTGCAGATGCATGCAGTTTAGCTTCAAACCAGTCACCGCTGCACTCTTTGTTTACTCTCCTCTTTTAAAATCACTGCCGGTCTGTGTTGCACAGACTGGATGTGCATCGGTTAAAGTCACAATCAGCTTCAGAAGGAACTAAATATTTGTTTCCACAAAGTTTTATCCCAGGCAGATGTTTTAGCTTAGAATAAGGGTGCAGTGATGCTGTAATGCTTCCTCTTTCAAGATTCAGTATGAATAAGAAATGAGTAAGCAAGGATGAACTGTTATGTATTATTCTGCTTATACAAGCTTTTATTGCAATAAGCAACATGTCAGCATTCAGAGGGCTCAGCTGGAAAGTAAACACAGAATATTCTGAAAGTTTTAATCGTTAGCTGCGAGTTCTTTATTCTTTTTACACTCTAATAAGTAACGAACTGTTCAGTGAAGCAACATTGATGACTGAAGCTAACAGCTCTAAAACAGCTTTTTATATTGGATCATTTTCTCGGTACCCTGTGTGCACTTTAAATCTTTTATTCATGCCATCATGTCTTTATTAAGTGAAGCACTTTCCTTGTGACAAAAAACTTCTGGACTAATAAATTTGTCTTGCCCCGCTTTGGCGAGTGGGTCCCAAACTGTGGTCCAGCACCCCTGAACTCGAGGCATCTATAACTGCTCACAGACCGTTCACACACTGTTTGCTCTGTAACGTCCTGAAACTTGGAAGAAAATCCCAGCAGCACCAAAACATGTTTCTGTTACAGGTTAGAGACTGAAGAAAGCT